GGTGGTAACATCACAATCTCCACCTCGTCCATTCAGAGAAGAGAACTCAAAGCCTTCTCTAGTTGGATGAGGTGGAAAGGCAGGGTGGTAACATCACAATCTCCACCTCATCCATTCAGACAAGAGAACTCAAAGCCTTCTCTAGTTGGACGAGGTGGAAAGGCAGGGTGGTAACATCACAATCTCCACCTCGTCCATTCAGAGAAGAGAACTCAAAGCCTTCTCTAGTTGGACGAGGTGGAAAGGCAGGGTGGTAGCAACACAATCTCCACCTCGTCCAATTAGAAAACACTTTGCATGGTGCCAGGATGCCAGCGGAGATCACTGTAGTAGTAGTGGAGTAGTAGTGCCTTCTTCTGTGACTTCCAGCTTCTAGAAGGATCCCTCAGGCATGACACATACAAACTTGGCCTGGTCCAAGATGGATCAATGTAACAATTAGCTGGGGATGGGGGGAGGGCGGGGGGGGGGTTGTAGGTCGTTCTTTCAACCAATACACTGGTGTCGGTGCCATTGGATTCCAGTCTTGAAGATTGGCGGTGATATTCGTGTGTAAGCAGGTGTAGTTTGGCCTCCCTGCACAGGTGGTGCAGTTCCGCAGCGATGCAGGTAGAGTGGAGAGCAAGGGGAAACTCATGTTCCTTTGAGGCTGACTGGATGCTGCTACTCTAGATGATCACAGCAGCCATATTTGGTGTGGGCAATGCCAAAACAGGGACTTGTTGTTGCCTTCCAACCACCCCTCTGTTGGATGTTGTCGGATATCAGCAGTGTGTATCCTCTGCACAGCTCTCTGTAAGTGCTGCCGGGCTGGTGAAGCCATTTTTTTCAGAATCTGTACCAATGTGTTGGAAGCTCTGCTCTACTTGGCCTCCATGTGTATTCTCTCCTATCCAGGTACCAAGCTCTTGGCCCCGCCCACAGTTGGTTAGTCGCTGGTTCCTTCGGTCTTCCTCAGTGTGTTTGAACCCTGTTTTTTTGGTGCTGCTCATCGAACCCTTCGGTGGACAGGTTGCTCCCACCAGTGGAGTTCATATCATATGCCAGCCAACTTGAACGCAGGTCTCTGGTTGGCCATCAGCGATGACTGGCCCAGGGCACCTCCCTCATACAGGAACAAGATGGGGTACCAAACACCTGAATTATGGAGGAACTCCCCCATCTTGGCTACTCGTGTATTCATGCTTCCAAGAACACTTTGTTGCTTCCTCAAAATAAATGATTGTCCACATGATCAACTCTTTACATGCTTTGGTTAAAAAAACATTTCAGTGGTATAAGTGGTACATCTCAGTTCTAGAACTTTCTTCTTCCATCTCTTTCCGTAAACTTTGGCAACTCTTATATCAACCAAAGGGTAACACTCGGCCTTTCCATTTTAAGTTCACAAAATATTCCTCAGCTTAGGTTCACTTCCTCCATAGGTGCCTTGGGGGCCTACCCAAGAAGGACATTTCTCCAAATCCCCCCCCACCCCCCCATGCTTCATATGCTGATAGTTTTTCTGGCCACTATTTCCCATGAGAACCTTCCTTCCAGTGGAATATACTGTATACACTTCTTCCATAGGTGCCTTGGGCAGTGATGTATTTAGACTTTGTGCTGCCCTAGGCAACACAAAAAGTTTTCACCCCCCCCCGATGAGAGAGCGAGAGAGTCAATAAGTGGGTGCGTGTGTTTGTTTGTGTGTGTGTATACATATATGATTCTCTCTCTCCCCCCTACCTCTCTCTTCCCTCTCTCTCTCTTCCCCCCTCTTTCTCTCTCTCTCTTTCCCTCCCTCTCTCTTCATTCCATCTCTCTCTTCATTCCCCCTCTCTCTCGCTCTTCCCCCCTCTCGCTCCCCCCTCTTTCTCTCTCTCTTCCCCCTTTCCCTCTCTTCTCTCTCTTCCCCGTCTCTCTCCCTCTCTCCCTCTCTCTTCCTTCTCTCTCTTCATTCCCTCTCTCTATCTTCATTCCCTCTCTCTCTTCATTCCCCCTCTCTCTTCACCCCCCCCTCTCTTCATTCCCCCTCTCTCTTCATTCCCTCTCTCTCTTCATTCCCCCTCTCTCTCTTCATTCCCTCTCTCTCTTCATTCCCCCTCTCTCTCTTCATTCCCCCTCTCCTTCTTCATTCCTCCCTCTCTCTCTTCATTCCCTCCCTCTCTCGCTCTCCCTCCCATTCCCATCTCTCCCTCTCTATCTCCATCTCCCCCCTCTCTCTCTCATTCCCCCCCCCTCTTTCTCCTCTTCATTGCCTCTCCTCTCTTCCCTCCTTCCCCCTCCCTTTATTTATCTCCATCTCTTCTCCTCTCCCCCTCTACTCTCCTCTTTATTCTCTCCCCCCCCCCCCCTTCCCTCCTCTCTCTCTTCATTCCCCTCTCTCTCTCTCATTCCTCTCTCTCTTCATTCCTCTCTCTCTTCCCTCTTAGTCTCCATCTCCCTGCCTCCTCAATCTCTCCCTCTCTCTCTCCCCTCACTCTCTCTCTTTATTCTCTCTCCCCCCCTTCCCTCCTCCCTCTCTTCATTCCCCCCCTCTCTCTCATCTCTTCATCTCTCCTCCTTCATTCCCTCTCTCCCTCCCTCTATCTCCATCTCTTCCCTCCCTCTATCTCAATCTCTTCCCTCCCTCTCTCTTCCCCTCTCGCCTCCTCTCTCTCTTCCCCTCTCTCTTCCACTCTCTCTCTTCCCCTCCCTGCTTCTCCCCCTCCCCCCTCTCCCCCCCTCTCTCCCACTCTCTCTCTCTTTATTCTCTCCCCCCCCCCCCTTCCCTCTCTCTTTCATTCCTTCTCTCTCACCCCCCTCTCTCTTCATTCCCTCTCTCTCTCTTCATTCCCACTTTCTCTCTTCTTTCCCTCTCTCTCTCTCTTCCCTCCCTCTATCTCCATATCTTCCCTCCCTCTATCTCCATCTCTTCCCTCCCTCTCTCTTCCCCTCTCCTCTTCCCCTCCCCTGCCTCCCTCCCTCCCTCTCCCCTCACTCTCTTCTCTTTCTTTATTCTCTCTCCCCTCTCTCTTCCCCCTCTCTTCCCTCTCCATTTCTCACATCGTATTGGACTGCACACACACACACCTCCTCCAAGGGCTGCTGATCTCCGTGCAGCAGGAAGGGGGGGAGGAGGTGTGTGCAGTCCCATACGATCTGTCAGTGCAGAGAGGGAGACAGGGAGATCCCACAGACCGCAGCACAGCTCACCTCCTCCGGGCTCTCCTCTCCCTGCTTCAGGCTGTCCCCCTGGTCCCATCTCGTCAGCTGCTGGAGACGGAGGTACAGGAGCATCGCTCTGCAACTGCCCTCCCCCCACATCGATCCTCCTGCTGTCCGGGCCACTGCAAGAGTACCGAAGGTACCCCTCTGCTGGCGGCCCTGCATGCCTCTGTCCGACCCGGTGCTCTCAATGTCCCTTCTTCCGGGGGGGGCGGGCAGTGCCGCCCCCTAAAAATTGCCGCCCTAGGCAAACGCCTTGTTTGCCTCATGGTAGATATGCCCCTGGCCTTGGGGGCCTACCCCAGAGGGATATTTCTCCAAAATCCCCATATGCTTCATATGCTGCTTGTTTCAGGCCACCAGTTCCCATGAGCACCTTCCATCCAGTGGAGTATACTGTATACACTTCTTCCATAGGTGCCTTGGGGGCCTACCCCAGAGGGATATTTCTCCAACCCCCCCCCATGCTTCATATGCTGCTAATTTCAGGCCACTATTTTCCCATTAGAACCTTCCTTCCAGTGGAATATACTGTATACACTTCTTCCATAGGTGCCTTGGGAGCCTACCACAGAGGGATATTTCTCCAAAATCCCCCATGCTTCATGTGCTGCTAGTTTTAGGCCACCAGTTCCCATGAGCACCTTCCTTCCAGTGGAGTATACTGTATACACTTCTTCCCATCGGTACCTTTGGGGCCTCATCCAGAGGGATATTTCTCCAACCCCCCCCCCCCCATGCTTCATATGCTGCTAGTTTCAGGCCACTATTTCCCATGAGAACCTTCCTTCCAGTGGAATATACTGTATACACTTCTTCCATAGGTGCCTTGGGGGCCTACCCCAGAGGGATATTTTTCTCCAAAACCCCCCCCCCCCATGCTTCATATGCTGCTCGTTTCAGGCCACTATTTCCCAATGAGCCTTCCTTCCAGTGGAGTATACTGTATACACTTCTTCCATAGGTGCCTTGGGGGCTACCCCAGAGGGATATTTCTCCAAAATCCCCCCCATGCTTCATAAGCTGCTAGTTTTAGGCCACTATTTCCCATGAGAACCTTCCTTCCAGTGGAATATATACCCAAAAAGCTGGTCCAACCCCCTTACTTGGGGTGGAATGGAAATATAAAGGGTGTTAACCCTCTGCCTGCAAACTGGTGTTCATTCTGCAAACCTGACCAAACCCTAGCAGATTGGGTTTTGGGATTTTTTTTCTTCGGCTGAAGTCGCGTCCCAAAGACAATCACGAAGAGAGACACTCAAATGATTGTTACTATTGTTATGTGACACGCAATGAAGCACCACGTGAAGTGATAAATGCAGAGGACCCTGTACTGGAACGGTCTTGTTATCCTTGGCTCATGATGTTGGCTTCCTATAGGCTACGTTGCCGGTTCTTGTGTACAGCCGTAGAGTGCACCGTCTAGACATCGCTCTGTGATTGGTGTGTAGGCGTTGGCGGATGGTCTCTCTTTCCATGTGCCTTAATGGCTCGTCTGAGCGAAGATCGCATAAAGCTTTTTCTACTTATTCATTTCCCCGCTGTCAGCCCTCAATTTACCGGCATTGTCATTGTAAACGCTCCTGTCTGGTGTCTGTGCCGAGAGGCTGTCCTCAGTTTTCTTTTCAGCTTTTACAACATTTATCATTTAAAGAGAATATCTAGTTTAAATATAATCTTTAAAATGCTTTAAGGTAGTTTTAAACCCGGTGAAGTGACTGGCCTCTGGTGATACACAGAGACAATGAAACAAATCCTCCGCAAGGTGTACCTGTTTATCTGCAGCCTTCTCTATCTATCCATTCAGTCGTATCCAGGGGCAGACTGACCATTCAAGCACTCAGGCACTGCCCAAGGGCCCAGGGTCAGTAGGGGACCCCATGAGATGCCCCTGATACCTTTCATTGGCTTTATTGGGTGTAGGCAAGGACACAGGGGCCCCATGATCCCCTATTGCCCAGGGGCCCCATGAGTTGTCAGTCCACTCCTGGTCATATCCGACCCTTGGCGACTTCTTCCATGAATTCTCTTAGCAATTATTTTTTACAGGGTAGGTTGCCAGGTCTTTCCCCAACCCCTACCATGCAGGAGATCCCACAGGGCCAGGGATGAAACTAGGACAATTTAGACAGGAGCCAATTAACCTACCAGCATGTCTTTGGAGTGTGGGAAGGAACCCATGCGAATACAGGGAGAAACATGCAAACTCCATGCAGGATGCACCATGGTTGGAAATTGAACCCATGACCCAATTACTGGAAAGCAGAAGTTCTAACCACTAAGCCACCGTGCCGCCCTATGCTGCCATCTCTGCTCTACATCAAATCAAAATTCTGAAATTTCACAGCATTTCTGAGCTCCTCGAGGTGATCTGATGTCACACACTGCACAGCATAGAGGAGGGAGCTGAGTGTAATCTGAGACCCGAGTGGAGGGAATGGACACACAACCCCCACACAGTCTCATAGGGAAACATGCACAGCTGAAGCAATCACCTGTTGTGTGCTGGAGTGGGTTCTCCTGAGATTGCCTGGGGTCAGCATAGGCTTCCAAAAGTGATTCATGCAGATAGCATAGGAAAGAGAAAGGAGACGTAAATCCAACTAGCTGCTTTGGATCGAGGAGATTCCACACTGTAGAAAGATATGCTTTGTTCATTTCTCGGGTCAGAGATTTACAACTGCTTTAAAGTGACATCCTTATTCTCCAAAAGTCATCCATACTCATCCACAACTTAACCCCATGACTCCGACGGCACATAAATATGCGGCTTGACAGAACTAGGCTTTTTTCTGTGGGGGCCGCATATTTGCGTACCTGTCTTTGTGCTGGGAGCACGCCGCTCGGTGCGCTCCCAGCACAGAGACCATGGTGTCACTGAGAATCCCTAGTCCATAGTACAAAGTCCATAGTTTCTAGTCACCAGTTCCTAGTACATAATACATAGTACCTAGTCCATAGTCCCTAGGCCAGGGGTAGGCAACCTGAGAGCCGCAGGACTACAAGTTCCATCATGCCTCTGCAAGTCATAGCTGTAACTGTCAGTTTTTGTAATCTAGTCCATTATCCCTACTCCATAGTACATAGTCCCTAGCCCATAATCCCTAGTTCATAGTAGATAGTCCATGGTACATAGCCCCTAATCCATAGCCCAAATCCCTTGCCCCAAGTTTACTGTCCTTAATCTATATAGTATGGTAGTCCCTAGTCCATAGTGCCTAGTCCATAGCACATAGTCCCCAGCCCATAATCCTAGTTCATAGTAGATAGTCCATGGTACATAGCCCCTAATCCATAAATCCAAGTCCCTTGTCCCAAGTTTACTGTCCTTAATCTATAGTATGCTAGTCCCTACTCCATAGTACATAGTCCCTAGCCCATAATCCTAGTTCATAGTAGCTAGTCCATGGTACATAGCCCCTAATCCATAGCCCAAGTCCATTGACCCAAGTTTACTGTCCCTAATCTATAGTATGGTAGTCCCCAGTCCATAGTACATTGTGCCTAGTCCCTGGCCCATAATCCTAGTTCATAGTTGATAGTCCATGGTACATAGCCCCTAATCCATAGTCCAAGTCCCTTGTCCCAAGTTTACTGTCCTTAATCTATAGTATGCTAGTCCCTACTCCATAGTACATAGTCCCTAGCCCATAATCCCTAGTTCATAGTAGATAGTCCATGGTACATAGCCCCTAATCCATAGCCCAAGTCCCTTGTCCCAAGTTTACTGTCCCTAATCTATAGTATGGTAGTCCATTTTCCCCAGTCCATAGTGCCTAGTCCATAACACATAGTCCCTAGCCTATAATCCTAGTTCATAGTAGATAGTCCATGGTACATAGCCCCTAATCCATAGCCCAAGTCCCTTGTCCCAAGTTTACTGTCCCTAATCTATAGTATGGTAGTCCCTAGTCCATAGTACATTGTGCCTAGTCCCTATCCCATAATCCCTAGTTCATAGTTAATAGTCCATGGTGCATACTCTGCTGTGTCTGGTAGTATCTCTTCTTGCTAAGTCACCTGCTGGACATTTTCTTTAACCACTTCAAATCTGGACACTTTCACCCCCTTCCAGTCCGGACACTTTCACCCCCTTCCAGTCCGGACACTTTTGCCCCCCTTCCAGTCCGGACACTTTCACCCCCTTCCAGTCCGGACACTTTGCCCCCCTTCCAGTCCGGACACTTTCCCCCCTTCCAGTCTGGACACTTTCACCCCCTTCCAGTCCGGACACTTTCACCCCCCCTTCCAGTCCCGACGCTTTCACCCCCTTCCAGTCCGGACGCTTTGCCCCCCTTCCAGTCCGGACACTTTCACCCCCTTCCAGTCCGGACACTTTCCTCCCCTTCCAGTCCGGACACTTTCACCCCCTTCCAGTCCGGACACTTTCAACCCCTTCCAGTCCGGACACTTTCAATGGATGCGGGGGGGACGTTTAGAAATGCCCACCCACATCGGCAGTGCTGCCATCCGGACGTTTATCGACATGGGCCAGATGGGAAGAGGTTAAAGAAAGCTTCTTTGCACAGACAAGGAAGCTTTTCCTGTACACTTCCAGCTAGCCAGCAATGAAAAAAATGCTAACAGTTTGCTTTAAGGGCCAGTTCACACTTCATGTGTTTTTTTTTTTTTCATTCAAAACGCACAGAAAGTAGATGGTATGGTTGTCAATGTCATAGTTCACATCAGCGCTTGCAGTTCCACGCGCATGCAAAAATGCATCTGGACTGCGTTTCTATAGTGTGAACTGACCCTAAACCAGGATTTAGTTGCGCAACGTTTGCAAATATATGTGAAAGTCAAGGCTCCTCTGTATAGTGCAGTCCTAACTCTAGTATATGATAGTCTTCATATTGGAGTATATACAGTATATACTGGCATGCCTGCAGGGAGCCTGTAACGGAATCGACCCAGACTACGCTTGCTGAGTACTTCTGTTAGAATACCGCTTCCCCGTCCGAACACCGACCACAGATGCCACAGCCGACCATACAAGACTAGACGACACCAGTCTTGAAGTAAACCAGGAGGTAGACTTTTATATGAACACAGATACAAGATATATACACTCAGGGGACAATCCCCCCCTCCCTGCATAATAACACAGTGCGGGGCAATCTACATTTAGTAACAAGAGACACACAGGTATTCATACTTCACACTAGCAGACAGTCCCATCAGGAGGGAGGGCTGCTGGAGACACCCCCCCCCCCCCCCACTAAGCTAATACACATAAACACATACATCCCATAATAGTTTGCTCCCAAACAATAGAACAATGGAATGCAGCCACATAACATCAAACAATCAACAACCCCCCACCCCAATATTAGGACAGATCACCCTGTACCCCTAACAGGCACAGGGTGACTTACACATAAGAGGGATATGGGGAGCTGAGACAGGGGTCTCCCCACCTCTCCAAAGTGAGCTGTGTTCCATGGGCCCCCCACCCAAAGTGAGCCCATTCCATGCAGATGTTGTCTCTACAAAATGAAAACTAATGTCAATCATCTTTGACTCCACCTACACTATTATAATGCACAAAAAGTACACATTTAATTTTCAATAAAGACTTATAGGGACCTATAAAACATTTTTTTTAAATATATATTTATATTTTAATTTGAATTGCTCATCTGAAACTATTATTTTAAGTCACATGACTGGCCAAGCAGCAATCATAGCTGTGCAGACACATACTTCAGCTGAGTAATAGAAGCCCCTCCCAAGGATCTTCCCCAGCAGATGCCAAAGAATAAGGAAAGATTCTGTGACCTCACAGCAGTGCTGAAAGAAAAAGGTACTTAGAGGATTAAAAAATCCAGTGTCCTGATATACTGTACACATGTAGATAACCACGCTATAGCCGAATGACAGCTACAGCGTGGTTACCCAGTTCTGGGAGGGCGTCATATGACATCTTCCCAGAACGAGCCCTCCCTCGTGATTGTTGTGTCCTTCTGATCATTGTGATGAGGCAAAAGGCCAATCACAGCGGCCTTTTACCACGTGATCAGCTATGTCCAATGACAAAAAAGAGAATGAAGGGAGGGAGGAAGGGAGAAAAGGAGGAAGGGAGGGGGGAGGAAGGGAGAAAAGGAGGAAGGAGGGACGAAGGGAGGGAGGAAGAGAGGGAAGGGAGGAAGGGAGGGAGGAAGGGAGAGAGAGGAAGGAAGAAAGTGGAGGAAGAGAGGGAAGGGAGGGAGGAAGGAAGGGAGGGAGGAAGAGAGGAAGGAAGAGAGGGAAGGGAGGGAGGAAGAGGGGAAGAGAGGGAGGAAGGGAGGGAGGGAAGGGAAGGGAAGGGAAGGGAAGGGAAGGAAGGAAGGAAGGAAGGAAAGAAGGAAGGAAGGAAGGAAGGAAGGAAGGAAGGAAGGAAGGAAGGGAGGGAGGGAGGGAGGGAGGAAGGAAGGAAGGAAGGGAAGGGAGGAAGAGAGGGAAGGGAGGGAGGAAGAGGGGGAGAGAGGGAGGGAAGGGAGGGAGGAAGAGAGGGAAGGGAGAGAGGAAGGAAGAAAGGGAGGAAGAGAGGGAAGGGAGGGAGAGAGGAAGGAAGAAAGGGAGGGAAGGGACGGAGGAAGAGGGAAGGGAGGGAGGGAGGAAGAGGGGAAGGGAGGGAGGAAGGGAGGGAGGGAAGAGAGGAAGGAAGGAAGGAAGGAAGGAAGGAAGGAAGGAAGGAAGGAAGGAAGGAAGGAGGAAGGAAGGAAGGAGAGGAAGGAAGGAAGGAGGAAGGGAGGAAGGGAGGAAGGAAGGAAGAAGGAAGGAAGGAAGGAAGGAAGGAAGAAGGAAGGAAGGAAAGAAGGAAGGGAAGGGAAGGGAGGGAGGGAGGAAGAGAGGGAAGGGAGGGAGGAGGAAGAGGGAAGAGAGGGAGGGAAGGGAGGGGAGGAAGAGGGGAGGGGAGGAAGGAAGGAAGGAAGGAAGAGAGGGAAGGGAGGAAGGAAGAGAGGGAAGGGAGGGAGGAAGAGGGGAAGCGAGAGGGAGGGAAGGGAGGGAGGGAAGAGGGGGAGGGGAGGAGGAAGGAAGGAAGGAAGATGGATGATGTGAGAGAAAAATGGTAAAAAGACAGAGGAAGGGGAGTGAGGAAGAGAGGGAGAAAAGAGGGCAAAAGAAGAAAGGAGAGAAAGAAAAG